AAAAAAAAAAAAATTTGTAAAAGGTGTTTTCACTACTAAGTAGCTCTTCGTATGATTCAGAAGGTCTGTAGGTCTTGTTTTATTTTGCTGGCATGAGATATAGAGAGGAACCTGACATTGATAAAACAGTTATCCTCAAAGCTGGGTGTTCCTCCTGGAAAGAGATATCTGCATGCTTGAACCATCTACTAATTTGGAGTCTACATAAGGTTAGAGTGATTTATATCAAAGGTTGCAGACAAGTGCTTTCTTGTCTTTTCCTAGGTGAACCCGGGATGTGGATGATTTCTGCTGACAACATTCTACAGACAGACATTGTTACTGGAGTAGGAGTGGCCAGGAGTCCAGGAACTGCAACAATTTTTCATGACATCCCAGGAGTAGTGAAAACATATCGAGAGGTAAACATAACTGTACCAGGGTTGAAGAGACTAAGAGCGACTATTTCCATACAAGGAGATATGCATATAGAAAACACATCCTAGGAAAGGAAATATACTCACACAACAGATATGAGGCCAGCCAGCTAACACTATTGGAACATAAAGCTAAACAATGCTTAGGATTCTTAACAAGAAGAATGACTAATATGATTTATGTTCTAAAAGGTCACTGTGGCTACTGGTTGATACTAGGCAGCAGAGGCAAGGGTAGAAGCTGAAAGACCATTTGGGAGTCTACTTCGGTAATCCAGGTGAGATAGGATGGCAGATCAGGGTGGTAACAGAGGAGGTGGTGAAAAGTTGATCAGATTGTAGGTATATTTTATAGGTAAAGCCAATAGAATTTCCTGACTGATTATGTGTAGAGTGTGAAAGAATCAAGAATGATTCAGGTAAAAGGATAGCATGCTCATCAACTGAAATGGGGAAGACTGTAGGTGGAACAGTTTTAGAGGGAAGATCAGTCAGTTTTGGACATGTATAATTGGATATGTCTATTGAATGTCAAATGGATATGTTGAGGTAGCTGGATATAAAAGTCTGGGAATCATTGGCATAGAGACATTTAAAGCCATTAGATCACCAAGAGAATGAGTATAAAATAGAAAAAAGATCTGAGTACTAAGCTCTGGGAGCACTCCAACATTAACAGCTCTGAGAGAAGAACCAATAAGAAAGGCTTATAAGAAAGAACCAGTGAAGTGGGAGGAAAACCTGGAAATGCTGGTGTCCTAGAAGCCAAATGAAGAAAGTATTTCAAGGAGGGAGGGAGTGATCAACCATGTCAAATACTATTGATAGGTTAAGTAAGCTGAAAACTGAGAAATGACCAGTGGTTTTTGCAATATGGAGACTGGTGATTTTGATGAGTAGCTTCAGTGGAAAGACTGGAGTGAATGTTTGGAGAATTGGAGAAGAGGAGTTGGAGACAGCGAATATAGATAGCTCTTCAAGGAGTTGGGGTTAAGAGTTTGTTTTGGGTTTTTGTTTTGTGTTTTGTTTTTTTAAGATGAGAGAAATAACAGATTGGGAATGATTCATTAGAAAAGGAAAATTTGATGTAGAAGTAGGGAGAATTTCTGGAGTGATATCCTTGAGATGGGTGAACAAATGAAGGGGTTGGCTTTATGAAGCCTTTTCTATATCCCCCTTAAAAACATGTAATGTCTCCTTCCTCTTTGCTCAGAGCACTTGTTTGTTCCTCTTTTCATTCCTCAGATGTGATAGCTATCATTTTTTGAGTGTCTACTATGGGCTTGGCAGGTCACATCTATTTTTTTTAAATTTTATTTTACATCCATCTGTCATTTTTAATCTTCACAACTCTGCAAAATAAGTATTAAATTACCCAATACGAGTGCTCACTTTGGCAGCACATATACTAAAATTGGAATGATACAGAGAAGATTAGCATGGCCCCTGTGCAAGGATGATACACAAATTCGTGAAGTGTTCCATGTTTTTTTTACATATTTTTAAAAAATTACCTAATATGTGCCCACATGGTATCTGGTACTTTCTTTTAAGGAGCTCACAGTCTAGTGGTGACATAATTACATATATGGCACAAATAATTACAACATTAGCGATCACTGCAGTATGACAGAAATGCTCTTAGAATATAGAAGAAAGTCACTTATTCTGCCTAGACATTAAGGCTAGATTTTCCCGAGGTGCCTTTTTTTTTTAAGATTTAGGGGGTACAAGTGTTTTTTGTTACCAATGGATTGTATGTGGTGAAATCAGGGCTTTTAATGTACCTGTTGCTTGAATAGTGTACATTGTCCATGATAGGTAGTTTTTGATCCCTCACCCTCCTCCCAACCTCCCCCTTCTTAGTTTCTGATGTGCATTATTCCACTTTGTACGACCATAATATACCCATAGCTTAGCTCCCACTTATAAGTGAGAACATGCAGTATTTGTTTTTCCATTCCTGAGGTACTTCACTTAGGATAATGGTCTCCAGTTCCATCTAAGTTGCTGCAAAAGACATTATTTCATTCCTTTTTATGGTTGAGTAGTACTCCATGGTGTATATATATAACCACATTTTCTTTATCCACTCCAGAGATGACATTTAAACTAAGTCTTGAGGATTAGGAATCTGCCTGGCAGAAAAAAGGAGAGGAGGCATTTTAGACTAAAGGAATAGATGTGCAAAGGCAAATAACAGTACATGTTTTGCTTGAAGAGCAATGCATAAATCAAGGTGGCTTCAACAAAAGATTATAGGCCAGGTGAGGTGGCTCACACCTGTAATCCTAACACTCTGGGAGGCCAAGGCAGAGGATCGCTTAAGCTCAGGAGTGTGAAACCAGCCTGAGCAAGAGCAAGACCCCGTCTCTACTAAAAACAGAAAAATTAGCAGGGTATGGTGATGTGCACCTGTATTCCCAACTACTCTGGAGGCTGAGGCAGAAAGATTGCTTGAGCCCAGGAGTT